AGGAGAAGTGACCGTGCAATGGACCAGCACTGATGCACCAGGTGTGGAGCCAGACCTTTAAAACACTGTACTTTTCCTTCCGACGTCCTTTTCTCGTACTGTTGTTTTCAGTTGGGTTCAAAGATGCATTTAGTTTGGAGAGCAGTTGTCTTACCTCTTTTCATCCAACCAACAATGAGCTAACATATACAGTGCATGTCCTTTTGAGCGTGTTTAGAATAATAGCGATAATAATAATTGTAGTTAAAAAGTCTGAGTAGAATTGACAAGTTTTTCTTCTCATAAAACAAAAAGAAGACAAAGGAAGAAAGCTACAGCTGAAACATCAAACAGTTTTAGCAATTCTAACTTTTTTACATATTTTGTCCTATTAGAAGTAAGTCCTGTTTATACTTTGGCCAGTTCTATTCTCACTAGCTGTACACCACACAAAGTCCTTGTATAAGCAAACACAATCATATTTTAAAGTAAGGTTTGTATATAAATCAAAGTGCTGGCATAAGCCCTTGATTTTGGCCTAAATTGAAATATCTTAAAGTACGGATTATAATCAAGAACGTTTATTTAATGACTTTCTTCTTCTAACTTTTCAATGAGAAATGTTGTATGCTTGAATTATTGTTACATTTACTTTTTGTCTCAGAGGACTGTACGAAGTTTTCGATTTTCCAACACAGCTCAGAGAATAAAACACTAGAAACACTGGAAATGCAACAATAAAAAGCATAGAGCCATTGGACGATAAGAGGCTCTGTCCATAAATATATAAATATCCTTGATCGTCACCATGGATTTTTTTTATTTGAGGTATAACAAGAGAACCAGCTAAAATACACTAGACTCATTTTTAATTCATAATAATCATAATAATATGATGATGATGGTGATGATGATGATGAAGATGATGATGATGATGATGATGATAAATCTTCACGGCTCCTCTCCTGTTGCAGACATCACCGGTTACAGAGTCATGTGCACTCCCACTAACGGCCAGCAGGGGAACAGTGTGGAGGAGTTTGTGAAAGCAGGGCAGACTTCTTGCACTTTGGACAACCTCAGTCCAGGCATCGAGTACAACGTTAGCGTGGTGACGGTGAAAGACGACATGGAGAGTAGCCCCGTTTCCACCATCATTACCCCCGGTGAGTCTCACGGTGACTTTTCCCATAATGTGTGTCTGTGTAACATCTGCCTTTGTGGTGCTTGCAAATTGTACACAACAAGAGTAGAATTATCTTTCAAGTGGTTGTCTAATTCTCGTAACTATTTAATAGGCAAGACAAGTTTATTTGGATAGCACAATTCATAAGCTACTCAAAGTGCTGAACAAAAAAAGAATAGAACATTTAGTTTCAAATGTATTTAGTTGTATTGGAAGTATATTTGTCATCTTTTTGCAGTGTATGCATAGTCATTGAGGGAAAGCATTTGCCCTTTTAATAGTTTACCATAAAATCTTAAGCTATAGGTAGTTTTTAATGCTATAATTGTACTGTGTAAACCAGGGGGGTTGGAGCCTTATACAAATTTCCTTTGTCTGACCCTATTTCAAACTGTAAATAGGGGTGCACTTTATTCATCCCCGTAGGAAAATTCATCCTCTGCATTTGACCCATCCTGATGCCGCTAAGGCTTATGTCAGGAGCAGTGGTAGCTGTGTCAGAAATGAACCAGACAGAGAAGGATCGTGGTGCGCCAAGCTCTGGAAGTTTATTTTAGGTTTCTCTCAAGTTCCAGTGGTTTCTGTTGCTTCTTTCTCCCAGACAAAATGGAGTCAGTCCATGATTTATATAGTCATTGTTAGGTCACACATCGAAAGACATACGTGTCAATTCAGAGACACGCAGAGCATTTCATAGTCAAAACATGGATGCACAATCAGAGTCCTTGTATAGTCTTGCAGTTGTCCTGCACGTAGGCCAAATGGCTATCTAATCCTTACAGCCGTAGTAACAGCGCCCGGGAACCCCCCTCCAGATGTTGATGCTCGGCTTGGTCAGGACTACCGGAGCTGGAGTGTGCATGTTTTTAGTGGTAGGGGAAACACGGCGAGAAAATGCAAACTCCACTCATAAAGACACCATTCTGACTGGGATTCGAACCCAGGACCTTCTTGTGTATCTTGTTGGTTTTTCGTTATGCTATATGAAAAATATAAGTTTGAAATACTAATTCTCACTCTTACTTCTGTCTCTTCTCCTTGTCTATGTTCTCTGTGTGTGATGCTGTATCCAGAGGTACCGCAATTGACCGATCTGTCTTTTGACGAAGTGGGAGACACGACCATTAGCCTGCGCTGGTCTCCTCACAACGTTACGGCCGTCACTGGTTACAGGATCACGGTTGTGGCGGCAGGAGAGAGCGTGCCCATCTTTGAGGACATGGTTCAGCCCAGTACCGGATTCTACACGGTCCACGGTCTGGAGCCGGGGATCGACTACGACATCAGCGTGATCACAGTGACGGAGCACGGAGAGAGCGAGCCCACCACGCTGACACAGCAGACCTGTAATTACTTCCTATTCTATATTAGGGTTTACAAGGGATTTGATTCAGTTAAAAACTATTGTGGCTTTTTGTTTTGTGCTCCACCCCATTTTAACAAAAGTACGACATTATTGATGCGTTTACATTAGTTGAAGAATCTATTGTTGACATTTTTATCTAGCTTCTTGCTTTTGAGGTGTGGGGGGGTTCTGACTATTACAACATATACATGCATTCAAAAATAATAATAACACCAATATGTATCCTTTTTAGAATTTTTTTTACACACTTTGAGTTACTGCCTCCTCAACAAATAACTGGTACAAGATTCACTGTAGTTAAAAAGTAAACCCCATGTTGTCAGGCTCAGAATTAAAATCCTAACCGTAACCCTAACACACAAACTTAACACAAGACAACACACAACAACACACACACTTAAAGTGAAACTCTAAATGAATTACAAATTTTAGGAAATGTGTTAAATTGACCTCCTGGCCTTAAATGTTGATCCTGGCCTTGAATGTTAATTCTAATATTACGGGCAAGTCCCGCCTTCCCTTCTCTTAGCTATAGTTCAGAATCGAGTCATGCCAAGGGCTGTCAATCATCGGAGCTGATGCTCGCAGCTGCACGCATGCGCAGTTGTTTGTTTTCGCGGAGCCTCTATTAGGCTCTGGAACTACATGAAAACTGAACAAAGAATTCTGAACATCCGCGCTGAGGTACTTATGTATATACTGAACCTATATCCATAATCAGATCCTCTGCAGGTGTGTCCTATAATGTGCAATTCATAATAATAGCACTTCCTGGTTTGCCGCGATCGCTTTTTTGTGTGCATAAAAACATATTTTTTTTCATTAAAACGTTCACAAATAATTCTGAAAACCTCCGTGCATGTGTATTAATAATGTATATGTATAATGTGTTCTCTGATTAACATTTTAAAGCTTGCGTCGTTTTTTTCAAATCAAGTACCTCTCTGTCTCTCTTTCTGACAAACTCCAGACAATCACTTTAACACTGGGGGTGTGACGATATATCGATTTTTCGATATATCGCGATACTTTCTCCCGCGATTCGATTATCGATATACATTTGCCAAGTATCGATATCGACTTTTTTTCTTTTTTTTAAAATTGGTATCAATACTTAATATATGGCTACATTACGCATCTCCATTTAATTTATCATGAAATAAAGTGTATTTTTTCTTTTATTTATGCCATAAATTGGCATATTGTATATTTCTGACCAATATATCGATAGTCGTTATCGTGAGCTTTGTATCGTGTATTGTGAGGTACCCTTAGGTTCCCACCCCTACTTAACACAAGCACAAAATTAAATGTCATAAAGTATTTTTACATACGTAATAATATATCTTGTTAAAATGAGTGCATTGCTCCATTCTCCAAGACTCATACGAGGAAAGAACATGGAGGATTTTACCAAACAACTCGAGTAACCACATTTTAGTGTCATCCCTGAAGCTCTTGCTCAGTTTGCAGTCTTTAATAACAGGCGTAATGTGTGAGAAAGTCCTCTCAGGTTACATCATCAAAGCTGCTCTATTTTAACTCCATGCTGCCTATTAGGTTTGTTGTTGTAATTGTGCTTCATGTGGGGGTGGGTGGGGGGTGAATTTTAAGGGGGGGGGTTTAGGTGATAAGGGGGGGGGGGGGGGGGGGGGGGGGGGGTTTATTGAGGGGTGGGGGGGGGGGGGGGGGGGGGTGGGGGGGTGGGTGGGGGGGGGGGGTGGGGGGGGTGGGGGGGGGGGGGGGGTGGGGGGGTGGGGGGGGGGGGGGGGGGGGGGGGGGGGGGGGGGGGGGTGGGGGGGGGGGGGGGGGGGGTGGGGGGGGGGGTGGGGGGGGGGGGGGGGGTGGGGGGGGGGGGGGGGGTGGGGGTGGGGGTGGGGGGGTGGGGGGGGGTGGGGGGGTGGGGTGGGGTGGGGGGGTGGGGGGGGGGGGGTGGGGGGGGGGTGGGGGGGGGGGGGGTGGGGGGGGGGTGGGGGGGTGGGGGGGGGGGGGGTGGGGGTGGGGTGGGGGGGGGGGGGGTGTGGGGGGGTGGGGGGGTGGGGGTGGGGGGGGGGGGGTGTGGGTGGGGGGGGGGGGGG